TAATATTTACTATAATGCATATTGTGCATATGGCATATGGCATAAGAAGTAAGCAGTGATTTATCAAATGCTGTATATCTATCGAGAAGTTACTTAGGGCTGTTAAATTAATAGCGGGAAACACTATGGTCTCTGCTAACTACTATTCTGCACATTCACGTACTGTGAGTGGTAGCTTAGACTATAATGAGGAATGTGATACAGCCGTTGTCTCTACTGTTGATTAAAATGAGGAAAGGATTGAAAGGAACCCCTGAGACAAGCAGAAACGATAAAACAGTGTCGTGCAAATCCAGAGAATTGCAAGATACTGTTATTCATGTCGATGGAATCAGCCGTTTGAAACTAAATCCAGAACACCGGGTTTGGCGGAATTTAATTGTTACTAAGGGAGTCTTTCCATTATCTTTGTCGAATAAATCAGAGTACGTAATAGCTATGTTATTGACTTTAATATATCTAAGTCACGTGTTTGATTGATCGCTCTTCATTCGTTTCATTCATGCGAATTTTATAATCTTCGTTCTGGTGACATTTTCAATTCCGTACTTTACACTGATTATTTAACAATGCTCCTAAATTTGGCTTTTGCTGAGTTCATCCCCGTTGGTAGCAAATTTGTGTTGTCTGAAATGTCGGCTTAGAATAAACAATATTTTCGATGCCTTTTCTTTTCCGTATTGGTAAGATTAGCAGACTTTTTATTGTGAACATTGGCACTGTATCGGTGTGAATTTCAGAAAAAGACCAGCGACTTTTTGTGTGCGTCGATGATCTTCTGGCACCTGTCTACTAGTAGAAGTGACCGATGGCAGTGCGACGTTGAGGTCTCAAACCAGCTGGCTGTTACTCCATAATTTCTTCAGTGGTTTTGCAATTAACCAGAAAATTTAATAATGTTTCCTGCTCCTTGGAGCCCTAGCCTTATTCGCTGTTTGATACTCGATTTAGTTACCCTGAACTAGGCTGTCCATAGTCTACCTTGTTTTAAAACAACTTTTACCCGTAAAGACGAGGTCATAGATTCAAAACTATGTTATGTTGGCTATTTCAGTTTGTGACTCAATTGGCACACGTGCCTGACCTCCGCTTCGTCCTTAGTTGTCACCCAATAAATTTTGGCCACACTTCACAGTTGCTTGCTGCTGTGGCATCGCCCTGAAATTTACGACTCATTGAGGTCAAGATTAGCTTTCAAGCGAAAATGGCCGATTACCTCATAAAAACTCAAACTCAAGGACCATTTCTCCAAAGCGTCAGCAAGGACAAAACGAGGCATAATCATCGACGCGGAAGTGGGTAATAAAGAGGGCGAAGTTGCAAAGACGATTAAATGGCGATACCCGTGAAACCGACGGTCTCTCAGGCGACCTCCAATTTCGGTGAAGAATGTCACCATTCCGAAGATCCAAATTTTGGCGTTCTTCCAGTTTGTCTGAGGGAACAAGTGATGGCTGGGTCGGCAAGGATTCTCCTGAAATTGAGGTACTTAGCCAATTGGGCAGGAACCTCCAAACGACCTCTCTGGAAATGTTACTTCTATCCATCTCCTCTTCCGCCACTGTAGATGGTCGACGAAAACCATGCTCACCGTTGGTTTTTTAGTCCCCAAGACTTTACGGAACCAGCCTGTTGCTTGCTATAATCACTGAGCCAAAATTCGAACAACAAGGCTGGATCTGTTTTTACCTTGCGAGGGTGGGCTCAATTACATAGGAGAGGGCGGGAACACCACACAATCTGACAGAGGGTGCAAAGCCGACCTACGTTAAAGTGAATAAGCGCAGAAAGGGAAAACGCGGGGGCGAATGAAAGATCCACATATGGTGAAGAAGGAGTGCGAAAAGATCAGATTTCATGGCGAATGGCACCTATTCCTGTTTCTAGATGCATATTTGGTCATTTAAGCAGACTGTGTCTGAATAGTATTTGAGAACTTGCCTCAGGATAGATATGTCACTCAAATTGTTCTCAGTTGCTTGCCACCCAGGATATTTCGATAGTCAATTCTTTGATAAGTCTTTGCCAAAGCAAAGATATCGGTTTAGTCTACAGAACGTGTTAATAAGTCAAGACTTCTTAAGAATCATATTTCACAACGTATGACGATATTTCGATGCTCCAAATTCCAGGCTACCCAGTCCATATGTG